AAAGTAATGTTGAGTTCGCTGTGGATAGTGAGGTTAATGACGTAGTAAGGAGTTTTGACTTTTGATTGGAAGGATTTAATGTGCTGGATGTCTTGGCAGAACCCGACAGTTCCACATGCTTAAAGTGGTGCTAAAGAAAAAGTTTTATAATAATGTAAATTAATTTGACCCTTTTATACATTTTTCGTAATATTATATATATGCATTTATATTTTATGTTTTCAATATTTAAATTATTTCATGCATAATTTTATATTTTATCTATATGTTCTGTATTTTAGTTTATTACGTTATCAGTCATTATGAATAAATAATTGAGTGTAAAAAATAAAAATAAATTGTGTTTTGTTATTTTGCTATGCATTTAATTTGATTTTCACAATTTTGGATTTACCCCATTTTTCACGGCATCCCCAGAATTGTAAAATATCATGCTTTACTTACTTTGTTCGTGAAATATTTTAAAATAGGGAAATAGTCGATTTTTGATTTGAGTTTTATAGATAATTATTGTTATTAGTGCAGTCATGTTACATTTTCATTTTTTGGATAATGTGTAAAATATTGTAACATTTTTTGTTCAGCGTGTCCCTGCGTTCTTGTTTTTAATATTTGTATTTCTTTGTCTGCCCGCTTCGATATAGACTTTCCCTCGAAAAGAGAAAATGTGCGTGTCTTCATCTGGACGGAACTAGGCTAACGGCGCCGTTCACAAATCTAAAATTTCTCGTCCCGTTCCCGTTTTCCACTCAATCCCATCTGCAATTAGCCGGAGACGTTTTATGCAACCCTATATCCCCGGCTATACCAGAACCCAAATTGCCTTCATCGCGTTTCCGTGACGGTTAAGTTGTCATGACTACATGACAAATTGAGATGTACAATTCAGCCATTACAATCAATTTTTTTCAATTAATTTGCTAAATTAGATGACCTAAGATCAGGCCTTATTGGAATATGACTTGTGAAACGGAATATGCCAGAACACCTTACGTAGATCATAAACAATCTATCTGGCCCACAGATGGTGAGAAATTAATCTGGCTACTTACTTTTGGGTACACTCTGCTGGGTCCCAGGACATGTGTAGTAGAAGACGCTTTTGGAAGGAATGGCGCTGCTATACCACTGATATGTCCTGAGCCCTTCTGTGGCATAGTGATTCACAGAATCAATGCGTTTCTTGGACAAAAAGACAAATTGAAAATGAGGAAGCAGTGAAATTTACTCATTGAACAAAACAATCCGGAAAGACGAAACAAAATGCATCCAAGGAAGCGGGAAAAACATCAAATCATAGTTGGATTCTTGAAAAGACACTGCAGACTGAATATGCATCTAAAGAAGATTGGTAAAACCTAACAGTGTACGTGCAGCTTATGCAAAGAAGCAGAGGAGACAACAACATACCTATTAACAAACTGTGGCACCACATTTGCCCTCAGGAAGAAGTGTTTTGGGATGTACAGTGTAACAATAGAAGAAAGTCAACCAATTGAACCGGGCCTACTAATCAAATTTCTTGATGAACTGGAATTCACCAGTCTACTGTAAGTAAAGAAACAGGGGATATAGCTCTCACAGGGCATCACACACCTCCCCATATTACATCTACATCTAAATCTACTTTTGGGTGCAATTATTGAGTTGGGAATTCTTTAATTGACATGCACTAGAGATTGCTACTGTAAGAGGTGGCTGCTACTACTTAAGAGATCTACATAGAATATATGTCTGTTTATTTGGTTTATCAACATAATCACAACTAATAAATTACTGATACTTCTTCATCGGTTATTATGACTAGTTAATATTATGATTTTATTATGATATTACGTAAAATTTCATTTACCATTGAACCACGAATCGTGTGATAAGTCTAATTTCTGATGTGTTTAAGTTGAGTGTTCAATGTATTTTGACACTTTGAAGAATTGAAAAGAGTCTTTAATGAAATTTCAACAGGTAACCAACGGTGATAAGATAAACTTGTGGTAATAATATGTTTAAACTATGGTCAACATTAACATTTGGCCCTCAATGTTTTTCTTTCAGAACAGATAATATTAGTTTTAGTCATAATTTTTACGTGGACAGACCTTCAAAGAATTATTTCTATTTTCTAAACTGATTATAAGTTATTATTTATTTTTTAACGATGGTTCGCAACAGCACAGTTCATATCAACCTGGGTGCCAGTGTTTTTGACATTCAGGGCCGTTTGGCTCGAACCGGTACGTTTATGTTGATGATTTTATATTTTTATCATAGCCATATGTGTCAATAGGTTTTTTTAAACCTATTTACCTATCGTAAAAATTATTATTATTTTTCCCTCTTATCAATTTTCTGAGATGCTACTAAGTTGACCTTTTTCCCTTTCTCTGGTAAACCCGGAAGAAGTGTGTTTATTGTCATGTACATTTCCTGTTCCTTAAGATTACGGGAGTTTTACATTTGCATTTTATTTGTTTTAGGTTATTCATTTAGTGTAAAGTTAAATAAGTGGAAGAAGTTTTGTTAAATCTAATGTCAATAGAAAATTATCATTATAGGAAAGAACAGCAATTTTGTTGTTAAAACAATTTTATTTCATATTGTTACTAATTTAAATCCAAGTCCATGGAATTCACAAATATATCCAGATCATCTTTGTATTTCTGTAAAAAGATACTTTCCTTTAGAGGCCATATATCTCCGCCGAGGAGGACTTTCCGCATGAGGGTCGCTCTAAGGTTCTCCTGAGTTTTGCAGCGGTAGATAACGGCGTTTCTTAGAAAAATTTCAGTTTTGCGAAGCTGCTGTCCGCTTTTGGGAGAGTTTTGGAGTCAGATTATAGTCGAAAAAGCTGTCTGCCTCAGTTATTGGGCGTGTCCGTTTTCTCGAACATTTCAATGTGAAGAAAATAATGGGAAAACGCCGGGAATCAGAATTTTCCCGTTCATGGTCCACTTTGTAGAGGTTTCGTTAAGAGACAGATTACATAGGAGTCGGCCTCTTTACGACCTGTGCACCGTGATCAGTATTGGTCTATTGTGCATCTCCATTTTTTTATCTAGAGCTCCCCGTTAAACTTAGGGTTTTTGCCCGACCACAAAACTTTTTCAAGGGCTCCCGAGCGTATCCTTCAGACCTGGCTTTTCCTCTCCTAGAATAAGGAATCTCAGCTTACAGAGGCCTTCACACCATGAGAGGACGTGTTCCGCTGTTTCTTCTTCTTGGCGTTATATGCACAGGCTTGTTATTCTATACATATGCCTCCGGAGTCTGCAGTGTCCAGTTGGCAGCCCAACTATTATTCTAGTCCTCGTCACCGTATTGCCCTACTCACTTTTGACAAATAGACCACCTTTACTATCCTCCATGCAGTGGAGAGTATCTCCAGGCTAGGGAGGCCCTAAAGATTCTCACCAGTGATGGAATTAGTACTTCCCGCTCATTCTGTATAGGGCACATCCCATCACCCGGGGATTTCTAGGGAAGAAACCCATTAACCACCCACCTGATCTTCTCTGGTTTGAATGTGTTAGCTGCCTCCTTCCTGTATTCTTTAGAGTGGGGTGCTCATCTCCCGGGTATTTTTATTGACGCTGGAAAGTGTTTACCAATTAACATGGACAGAGTTTATTCTGTTGTCTCTGTAAAAGTTCCATCCGGTATTCGAATGAAGTCTAACTGTCCCCCAGTACCTTCTTTTGCCAACACTCTATGAATTCTCTTGACAGGACTTTCTCCTTGAGTTTCTGCGGCCTTTCTTATCTCCTTATTGTACTGGGTAAGTGCCTCTTTATATGTGCCCCATGTTCGGTTGAGTTTGGCATACTGAACAGCCTTCTTACCTGTCCTCTCTTTTTTTCAGGCTTTCAGGTTAGTTCCTTGTCCTTTCAGGGCAATTCCTTTCAAAGGTTGGCAGAATTCCGTCATTTACTTCCTGAACTGCTAGGTCAAGGTCCTCCCTACCCATAATTTTAACCTTAGCATCCCCGCGAGAGTATACATAACCCGCTCAATCGGTCTCTCTAGTACTAGGGTATGTTGCAAGTATGGGAGGAGTAGTAGAGTATGAAATCTTATGTATCTATGGTCAGAGCATGATGGCTCTTTTGACACAGTTCGTAATATATTCAACACCGCGTCGGCCCATTAAGAGAAATTTCACTGTATTTGATAAGATTTAATATTCTTCTTGTAAGAAGTATAAAAAATTATTATTAATTTAAAAAAATGTTTTTTTACGTTTTAATAAATATTCCATAAAAAATGTTTATATTTAATTTTGTCTTCTTAAACGTCTTTGATTAATTTTGCAGTCAAATTCTCATGGCTTTGGAATACTTTATCTATCGGGATTCGATGATGGATCGGACTGCTCTCGAACTGAGTTAATTAAAATTTTTAATAAAAATAATGCTCCTATCTGGAATGGAATAATTATTAATAAGGTTGGTTTAATCTTAATCGTTTCGTGACCTCAGAGATAGTCTCGGTTCAGATGAAAATTTTCAACGAGTGTTAAAATGAAATTTATATTATTCTTTAAGACGACATTTATCCTCTGTTTCCTTGAGAGATGATAAATATCAAGAAAACAACTTTTTTCAACTAATTAGCATTTCCATTTGAGATAACTATTTAAATGAATAAGACAGATAATTAAGTCACAATCCACATTTTATTAAAATAATATAACTATTTACAAGAAAATGTACAAAATCTATTTATATCACAATCATTAAGTAAAAAGAACTGTTTTTACATTATATAGAAAATAGGTCTAACTTAGGTTATTAATATTAGCAGATGAAAAGGGCAGAAATATTGAATGCGCCAGGTTCCATTTTCATTTGTATTCAAATGAAATGACAGTTTTTTTTCAGTAGCCACAATTTCAGCAAAAGATCTATTATTCCGTGATATTTTAACACTATAATGAAAAATCACTATCACATTTCTAAACTTCACGTAAAAAATGTTTAATTTTAATTTTTAATTAAAACAAATTTTATGCCGAACAAAAATCGACGTTGAATAGTACAAATCATCGCTTTAAAAACCGCCTCATAACACCATTTAAACAGTCAAGGCAATTGACAATTATTTTCAAGTCGTTTTTAAAGATTTCTTCCTAAATCATTGTTAATACAATATAAATTAATGTAACTCATAAATAAAACTTAAAACAAAAAAATCAGTCTTTTTCTACCGTGGGAGATTAGTAAAGGCACTGATGCAGTGCAGAGGGGGAATTGTCTGATTTTCAATCAGAATGTGTGAAACGTATTCCTCCTTCCTTGCAAAAACCTGAGGACGTTGGTCAGAGGTAGCTGAATGTGATAATATGCGCAATACGGTAGAGGGTCCCAGTAGGCGAAAAGGGCCTCCCGCTTGTCCATGACTGTCCCGAGGAGGTCGGTGACGGATTCGACCGAGGGGTGTTTGAGGGTTTGTATGACTGCTTCGTGCATCCAGTATCTCCCACTGGATGAAATGACCGGCCCGGAAGCTTGTCGCGAAAAGTGCCGACACGGCTTCCAAACCAACCTGGCGTGGACCGATGTGTGGCAGATGTAGGGAAGAGACACGCCCACCCTGCAGCCGAGGGGGACGAGTCCATTTGCAGAATCGACGAATCTGAAGCTCATGTGACCCGACATAGTCTTCTCGAACTTTGCCGACTGGAGGATCTTGTCTATCCACCGGTCGATCTCTTCATTTTCGACGGGTGCCATGTTCCCACCGGACGATTCTAATTTGCAGGTCACGTTTGCCACTACGCGGGACTCTTTAACCGTGGTGCAGGTAATATAATGATCGCCCGGGTAGTCCTTAACTATCACCCAGGGACGCTGCAGTGATATATAGTGCGGTGCGGAGAATTCTCGTTTTACTTGAGGAAGTAGGACTTTCATCCTGTCCCGTACTCCCGAGGGGCCGCAGGAGAACATGAGAAACATGCCAGCTCTGAGTTTATCCTCGTCGTACAACCGGTACACGTCCTCCCTCGAATAGACCGGGTAGTGTTCCGGAGTCCGGAGACCTTCCAGTCGACATTGTCTCATCATTTCGATTACGTCGTCTAACAAGCAGACATCTCTTAAGCAAGGACAGAAAACTGTCACGCCCAACCTTTCCAAATAAGGTTTCACAAGAGCGTCGTAGTACGCGGTCGACGTGGCGCATACTGGGATGTAGTACGAGACACGTTCTTTCAGTACGATATCGGCCAGAGCTTCTTTATATTGCTCGGCGCGGTCCCCGGACGGTTTGGGAACGAAATAAAACTTATCGACAGCAGTTGAAAACTTGGCCAGCCCGAAAAGACCCTCCAGTTCGACTACCACGACTCTTGTACCGGCGGCATAAAAATTTCTCGCAAGGTGTAAAGCCTGTATAGAGCTCCCTCCACTTATGAGTACGGTCCGTTTTTTCCTGTTCATCTCGCTCGATGGTGTGATGGCCCAAGTAATTATCCACTTCACGAACGATAACGGTATCTGAACGCACTTCCAGAACACCCACAGCCAAGCGGACAGCCACAATGCCGGCCCCATCATCAAAAACTGACTCCATATCAGGTAAATAACGGTTGCAATGAGATTGCGGGCGAACCGCAGGACGAACGTGGGATACCAGCCGATTATGTTGGGGAGCAAATCTGGCTTCGGAGGTGGCGAAGGGGTCAAATATCGTCTATCCAGCAGAGTGAACGTCGAACTGGTGGACCTTAGCAGTCTCGGTGGAGGAGAACAAGAAATAGGCGTCGACGGAGTGGGTGGCGTTGGTGACCACATCGTTCCAACGGTCTCGGCCGAGCAAGCTGGCATGATTGCCGATGGACTTCCACTTAACTGACACTCTTCAAACGTATGACTTCAAACTGACCTATCGAGTACATCGTCTGTCTTCACTATCTTATCTCTCCCTCCACTGAGATTAACACACTTCTAAACTGTTACGCAATTCCTTCTCATCCCTCCGCCAATCTTTGTTTACGTACAGACACTAAAAATATTTTGCAAATTACCAATATTGATTAAAAGAGATCCCACCCGTTTTATTATTAATAACTCTATCGTATTTTAAAACAATTACAAGCTATAAGCATTGATTGGACAATCCGATAAGACTAAATACAATAAAATAATTCGTGGATTCTTGCTAATTCTGCCTTATTTTTTTTTCTTTTCAAATTGTTGCCTAGAAACAAATGTGCCTTAATGACCTCTGTGTCAAATCTACTTGAAACTTATCATTTTAATCTAAATATCAATAATGCATTCTGTGTATGAATTTCTTATCATTTTTTCACTATTTACTGTTATTTCCGGATGTAGTCATCTGGCTATTAAACCTTAATTCGTTGTACTGGTGAGGCTGTAACATTTAAAAGCTCACAGAATCCATACAAAAATCCTTTATTGGATGTTACACATCATTAGGCCCGCCCAATCATGCCGTTTTGGGCAATACTTTTTACAGCTGGATAATTGTACGATTTGAAAGCATGATAAAGAGGTCTGACATTGTACTTGGTTGTCTGGTCAGACTGAAAAGTTATGGTAGACCTCGCCTATTGTTTTAAATATTCATTTTTATTATTTTGAAATTTGACTTAATATTTTTTAAATTACAGATAGTATTATTATTTATAATTTAAGCAAAACAACTACCATTAATTAATCGAAAATTGGATTCATATTTCATTGTTTATTTGTGAGAGTAAGTAAGATTTTTGAGTATTTTCGAACATAGTTGTTCTTTTATATCTCATTGTGGACCATGACCATGACCATTTTTCATGAAAGTAGATGCAGAACAGAAACGAAAAAAAGACGAGCGATATCAGACGGACCCTAACACATAATTAATAGTGGCATTAATTTGCTGAAGTTGTGAAATATTCATCTTCAGTTTTTACCGAAGAAGGTAAAATTTCGAAAAAATTACTCTTTTTTCTATAGTCTTTATTTACTTACACATGCGTCAATTGTAGCGCTTAAATAAATTTAATAGCATTTTATAGCGAAAACAAAACAAAATTTTCACACAAAAATATAAATAAAACAGAAAAAGGAAGAACTACTCATTAGTAGTTACTCCTATATATTAGCATTAATCACATTCACTGTTATTTACTGTCACTTAGGATGTCACGAGGTCATTGACGCATTAGCCGTCGGGGAGGATTATATGGAGCGGGATGAAAAGTTTCTGACATGAGGGTTTGTTTGACTGGATAATTGTTTGTGAAACATCTTGTAGCGGTGTTTTCACTACTTCAAGGACATATTGGATTGGTGAAAGTGACATGTTCACTTTTTTGTATGTTTACTGTCATCTTCCACTGCTTGAACTACTGCTCAAGAGATGTAACATTGAAGGCTTTGCAGCTTTCTGGTTGGAATGACTGTGTCTTATGGGAGCAAAGGAAGGTGGTATCATCCGCATAGGTAGTAAAGATCGTTTCTGGAAGAGTAAAAATGTCTGCGCTATATTCCGTGAAGAAAGTGGGTCCTAATTTGCTTCCTCGTCGTACCTGCATCCGAGCGATACCCGGTTGATAGTGAGTGGCCACTGATGACTTGAAAGTATCTGTCGGATTTTAGGATCAGGTAGTAGGTAAAAGGGAGGACTTTCTTAAGCTTCCAGTGGAGTCTCCGAGTGCATATCCTATAGAAGGATTGCTTCACATGTAGGAATACCATACTGGAGCATTGCTCTTTTGGCGAACAGCGGAATGAGTAAGTTCCAAACTAGTGGCCAGGGATAAGGTTGTAAGAATGAAGGCTGGAGAGAATGTGTTCTCAAAGCAGCAGTTTTTCTAGGCTTTTGTCCATTATGAGCAACAGTCTAATTGGATGGTATGGTGATGAAGGTTATGTGGTTTATCAGGCCATGGAATCATTCTGATGAGCGAAAATTTTCGTTGGGAAGGGAAGGTAAGGAAAATTAAAGCTTTTTAAGGCAGATGTCGTAGAATTTTGGCGGTGATCAGGTCGAAACCAGGAGCTTTTTTTGAGGGTAGATGACTTATGATACAGGATACATCATTGGGTGTGACTGGTTTTGGTGGAAGGGAGAGTGGTAGAGGAGATGTTAGGTCCTGTTCAATGGTTCTATTGAAGTCGGGATCATTCAAGTCAGGGTGAGGACGTGGATAGATAGGAGGCGAATAAGTCGGCTTTTCCTCCGTTGAACCAAGCCCAAGAGCCATCACCTCGGCGAAGGGGAGAAGGAACGGATTCCGAAGATAGGATTCTGTGTGTTGCTGTCCAAAGAGATTTATTCTCTGTAGTCAGGGAAAGTAGCTTGTTGTCTTAGGGTCATTTAGTTCATTTCTTTGTACATGAGTTAGTAAGATAACGTTGCTAATTGGCTGTTGAGCTTCGTTTCTCCATAATGATGGTACGTACAGTGGAGTGACGTACTTGTTTTAAGTAGATCTTGTTCGTATTTTTGTCGACTCTAGGATAGTACTTTGTATAGTTTCAGTAAAGGATTGTACAGCGTTATCTATATCGTTAGATATTTTTTTGTGGTGTTAGTAAGCCAAGTTTTTGTTCAAGGGAAAGTCTAAATGATTTCCAATCAACTGGGGCTTTAATTAGGGTAACTACTATAGGAGATGGGAAAGGAATTGTAGCTAACATCAGTAGGACAGGGCTATGATTTGATGAAATTTTGTAAGGTTAAGGATTTTATAGTGGAGATATGCCATCCGAGAGGAGATGAACACATCAAGGATGGCCGGAATTTTGGAGAGAGATTGGCCAATAGGTAGATTGATTGGGGGAAATGTACTTTAGTTTAAGAAAGGAAGGATGTTAGGAAGCGTTTGTCCACGAAGGTTCGTCCCGCGACACTCCCACTGTTGATGATGCGCATTACAGTCACCACCGGATAAGAATGTAAGACCAAGCGAAGGGAAAAACGAAGTTGTTAAAAACAATCATTCAACAAAAAATATATTGAGGGTTGAAGGACCGGTAGGATCAGTGAAACTCTGACTATCAATGTTTGCTATGTTGATTGTATAGGACTATGCTACACTTATTATTTATTGAAATATTACTGTACTGAATTATTTTAATAAACATTTATAAATAATCAATTTAATATAATTAAAAACAGATTGTCTAATCTCCAGATGATTGCAGCAAAGCTGGTGGCAAGTGCGATCTATTGTATCTTAATAACACCAACTAGTACTAAACTATCACGCTAGAACGTTCGTGTATGACCTATACTAGGATCTCCCCAACTATCATTGTATTTACAGCATTATTTTGTACACATGCTATGTCTGAGATGTTTTTAATTTACTATTAAAATTCTAATCCTAATTTATATAATTATAATTAACATCATAATTTAAAAAATATTCACTGTTTGATTAATAGAGAGATTTGCATAACATTTTTCCTATTTAAGGTCACCGTTATTTTTAACGTCTTTCGAATAACTTTGACTCTGTTTGAAGACTTTTTGCATAACGGATTTTGCCGTTAATGCTCTTTCCTGGTGAGTTTGTAGTTAGTTCAGATTTAGTCGTATCTTGCAAGTTTGGAAACAAAGGCACCGTTCCCGGTTGTGTTTTCTCTTGATTGCTGTCAATAGTTTGATAAATGCTGATGACCTGTAGTTGGGGAAGATCTAACGTATAAAATACACATTAATTAACTGGCGATCCTGGGCAAGTTTAGTTTAAATGGCCAAATTGAGGACGAAAAGTAAAATCCAAAGTGCTTATTTTAGTCTATGACATTATTGAAGGAAAGAAGTATACGGTCACCGTATTTAGCCATTCCTGCTTGTATGTAAATAAAACACCTAAATACACTGATGGACAAATTTAACTTACCACTCAATTTATTTAGTTTAAATTAAATTCATTATCGTTCAACATTAGTTGCAGGCAATTAGGACCTATCGTACTCAAAATAAACAGTAAATAATGCTTTCTTTACTTCCTTTGTTAGTTATGTACTGATTAATCCCATTTGCACAAAAACTACTATAATGCCCTTCCATTCTGCTACGCCTAAAGATCGCTTTCAGTTAATTTTTTTCTTTCTGATGATTTCATTTGATATTATTTGTATTTATAAACATTTTTCAACAGTTCCAGTCAGGTAATTGAGTGAGTATGACAATCTCAGGGTAACATTATTACAGGAAGGGAAGCCAGCGCGAAGTCGCCAGGAAACTGAATGTAAGTCACTCAACAATAGGAAGGTCCTTCTTAGGCGCTTCAGAGAAAAAGGGTTTTATACTAGAAGGCCCGGTTAGATCGACCTAGGTCTACAGTCGAAAGAGACGATAGATTTATCCGTCATCACAAAACCGAAGCATTACAAATGAGTTAAGAAATCTGATAATCAAGTCCGACATTTTTCGATTTCCGGACTGTAATAAGAAGGCTCAATGAAAATAACCTCAGGGCCCGGCACCCTGCCTCGTGGACATCTTACCACAGCTCAGAAAATAGCCAGGCTTCAATTCTTACTGCAACATGTGAATTGGTCATCGAAGTATTGGGGACGAGTGTTCTCTTACAGATGAGGTGAGAGTTGGCCCCAAATATTCAAATGGAGTTGTAAGTTGGGTGTAATTTCGAATGGAGACGCTCAGGTGAACGGTACGCCCCATGGTGAATAGTTCCTCAGGTGGCATTCCATGGTGAGTCATTGATGTTCTGAGGTGGCATTACTTTGGACGCCCGCACCGAATGGTTGTTAAGCGAGGAAGATCTCTAACTTCACAGAGGTACTTTCAAGATAAATCGAAGAGCATTTGCCCTCTACATCGGTGAGAGATTATTGCTACAGCAGGATAATGCCAGGCCCCACAGACCAGCTCGAAGTCCAGATTTGAATTCAGTCGAACACATTTGGGACCAACTTAAGCGACGAGTAGGACAGCGAAA